CCCCAAAACCCCAAAACCCCAAAACCCCATGGTGAATAAATTGATAAAAAATGAGAAGAAAATTAGTAAGTAGTAAATCCAAATTAAAAGAAAAAATCATTAAATTACAAGTTGGATATTAGTAATAAATAATTAAATGCCAAGCTTATTGAAGGCTGACAAGCAAAATCTTTACATGTACACATCAATTATCCTAGCTACAGCTGGGGTATTGATTGCTGCTGCAAATTTCTACCTGATCATTAAACCTAATGGAAGATTCCATATATCATCACCAGCTACTTCAGCATGGGCTGGATTAATCATGCTATATTTATCAGTAACATCTTACTTTGGATTGAAGAAATTATTCCTAAATTTCCATTCAAATTTTGATAACTATCTGTACATCTACAAAATTCACACAATGACTTATATTTTCTACATTCAAATAGTCATGATTTTGATATCAATCTATAGTTTAATAAGGAGCTCGTTTCCTGATTATCAAGCAGCTGTTTTTAATTTGTTAAACATTATCCCTCTTTATTTCAACACTCAACTTATCAAAGAGGAGGCTTTGAACAAAGTTGATGACGAAAAGAAACCAACAGATCCAGCTCATCCAGAAAAAGCTAGCAGTGATATGGATAACTTAATTCAAATAGAAGTCTAAACAATCTCTGAACTAACAAAGGATGCAACTTCTGTCGGGAAAACATCCACTCTTTGGATGATTCTTAGCATAATTACACCTGCTAAGATTCACACAATCTTCAATTTAGCTATCATCCTCACCGCTATCCAACCCTTCTATGAGTTTTACATGGAACCTGCTGCAATTAAAGGAGAGCAGTTTGTCACCATTCAGTCTCAAGGGCATGATGTAAGAATGAAGACCTACTGTACTGGGCCTGCTGTTCCAACAAATCCAGCTATATTATTTGAAGTTGGAGGAGGATCCTCATCAATGGATGTCTTTGCCTTGTAAACTAAACTTCAGAGCTAGTACACAATATGCTCCTATGATAGAGCAGGTTATGGAAAAAGTTGGTAAGGTCCTTTCCCAGCTAGTAATGCTAATGTAATGTAATAGATGGATGCTACCATGAGAAAGGTCAACTTCCCAGTTGATTAACCCAAATCTGTAATTTGTATTGGTCATTCTGTGGGAGGGCAAATCTGTAGATACTACGCGAATCATCATCCTTCAATCAAAGGAGTAATACTTCTAGATTCAGTCCCAGTCGAAAATTGGTTTTAAATAGTAGGTGAAGCATCAGGACAGACAGATCTTGAAATTGATAAAGATCAGTAAAATACACTTTTGAAGGTTTAAGCCATGAGTGCTGTTTGGCCTCTGTTCATTGGTTCACTTATTTTTGGATTCTAAGGCGGAAATTATTAACCTGAAGAATATGCTCACTGGCCTAAATGGCAAATTACTCTCGCCAAGAACTGGTATGCCTAGAATCTTGGAGAAAACTATGAGGTCAATGAATGTGATATCGGATGCAGAAAAGATTCAATTGTGAAGCCAGAGAATATGATTGATGTTCCTCTTGTAGCAATTACTGCAGCTAACAACTAATCTTCTTGTGAAGACAGAAAACTTACTGGTGATGCTTGTAATCAATATTTGTATGGTAGAAGTGCATCAATATAACTTCATATTGATCAAGCTTCTCTTTCAAAGCAATGGTCTGCATTTGAAATGTGCCCTGGACAATGCAATCATGATTTTGTTTGGGTTGAGACTGACTATCTTGTCTCTAAAATAAATCAATATATCTCAAAAATTTGATTTATCCCATACAAACTGAAAAAATTTCTTATCTTAATTTCATCAAATCTTCTCTCTATTTTTTACTTTGGGGTTTTGGGGTTTTGGGG